AGGCGAGTTTGACGGTTTCACGAGAGCGGAATATTCTATTCCAAACGTGTTTCAGACTATACTTTTTCTACGTTTACAAAAATACCATAGACAAATAATTTAATTGGAAGAAAGTGAGGTTGGATCGGTCTAAAATTTGTTAGATATTAAAAACAGAGATGTCGCCACGGGTGTTTATTCTGTAATCAGATGATGTAACACTTTACGGAATATATGTCATTCCATAGATAAAAGTGATACTAGAAGGGTCAAATTGAGTAATAGGAGTAGAAAAATAAAATTCGTATATATAGCTAATTCTAATAATATTGAGATATAATTCAACATGAAGAGGGTCTTCACTTATAATAATAGTACATAGTATATAATAGTACAAATGTCGATAGATTAAATATTTATTCAGCGACCAACACAAAAATTTTGTAAGGATAGAATTAAGTTAATATAAACTGAAAACATAAAATAAACATAAATTACAAACAAAAGTACATAGTAAGCCGATCAATAATGTAGCACATTGGGAACATAGAAACACTTTTTATCCTCATTTGATCACCAGGTCATAATTATTGATTAATCCCAGTCCCTGAACAATTTTGCAAATACCTACCTACCTATACGGAAAAATATTATTCAAAAATTACCAGAAATGTGGTACTAACCTCACAATGATATACTTCCTAACACTAACTAAAACTGCAAACTGAGGAATCATCATCATCAACAGTGATGATGCAGATTGCAGTTGAGCGACCGGCCGGTGTCTTATTTCAATCAGAAAATTATTTCATGTTTCGTTATAAATAATAAAATGTATCAAAAATTCACTTTGTATCTTGCTTTATTTCTTGATGCATAAAATTATTTTTCTACTCCCACCTTTAAAACGCCCATTATCGTACATGTTTCCAGTATCATGTTACCTTTTAAATACACATTGAAAAGTTGTGGCTTTATAGCGTTTTAGTCACGGGCCGAAGTTAGCAACAGGTTTTTAGTCACGGGCTGAAGTTAGTATTAATTTAGTTAAAGTAAGGTTAACAGATGTCAGATTTGTTTACATATACGAGGGTTGACTATAATGATCGTTAAAATCGGGAAAAGTTAGGTTATAATAAATTTTGTTATCAATGAAAATTACTTAAATGGAGTAGAAAAATCATAGTATTACACTCAAAATAATGCGCATTCTTTACTCGGATGATTTACGTCTCTCGCCTGACACCTCGAGGTGCAAACCTCATCCTTGTGAATAATAGCCTGCATTATCTCTCGTATAATAATATACTATTTCTATTTGTCTACCATAATAAGCAAACTAAAATACGCATTTGCGTTTCGTTTAGTCTCCATGGCGACATTTTCAAATACAAGACTTTGATCTTAGAATTATCTTAGAATTGTATATATTAAGTTATAATCTACAATAAACTCGTTTTTAGATCACAAACCGTTTAGTAGAAATAATTGGTTTAAGTTTTCTTAAACAGGTAAGGTCCATAGGAACCCGAGTAGTTTTACTTAAATTTGGTAAAAAAAATACTTAGCCCACCCTTCAAGATAACCTTGAGACCTTAATTTGTCTTAAACAGCATATGAACTGTCTGAAATATGGTGTTAAAAACAGTCTAAAAAGTACCTTTAAATAGTTTAAAAAATGTTTTAATTCCCCCTTAAACAGGATTTATTGAATAAATTATTATTAATTTATTTTCCATTTAAAAATATACATAACCAAATTTGTAAAGAGAGTTTTAGAAGATGTATTTAAAACTGATCAGATCCCTAAAGATATTGTAAAAATCTTATTTTAATATTGATACAAGCAAGCTTTTAAAATCGTCAAGCAAACTTCTGCGAAGGCCTTCATATGGCAGGCAGTCAGTAAGTATAGTAATTGAACATGGCCACTGTAAAATCCGACTTTAATAGCTATAATCGCGGCTGAGTGCCCTGGCGGTCTTGCGGTGTTACCAGGGTGACCGCCCCCAACCCTCTCCCGCTCGTATTTGCCAACACGCGAATTGTCACCCTGTCACTCACTTTTACCAACTATAGACACATTGATTTGATTTGAAAAACTAATATCTAGCCCAAACTAGATTCTGGTTATCTAGTTGCTTTTGCTGTGTGATGCGTGCTTTGCATTCTTTAATTTTCTGCGGTGTGATATCCAAAAGGGTCTTAAATTTGAGGTTAGATCTTTTAAATTGATCTTTTCTTTGATAACATTTTCCCATTTTTCCAGAATATTATGGAAAGCTTGGTAAATGTTGCGTTTTTATTTTCAAAATATTAGGCTGCTTAAATTTAGGTTCCATTTTCGGAATAGCCATCGAAATGGCAGTTTTTTATGGCTTTTATTTAATTTTAAATTAAATCAGATACAAACCTTGTGAAAAATAAATAAAACAAACATGTTAATTGTCATTGTAGCCTAACTAATAAAAAAACTTCCAGTTAGTTTTATTTGGGCTACCGAACGTGAATTGATTATAGTTGTTTATACTTTTCTGAAAATTAATTACCACCTGTTCATTTTCATAACGTTTTTTATAATAACCACAAACAGTTAGTTTAGATCGTCTCATTCAAAATAAGGTTAAATACAGGTTTTGAGTTAACCTGACACAAGGTGGCTCAAAAGTTACCACCTGATTTCCCATTGCAATAATTTTTGTTGTAAATAATTTTTTAGGTCTGCCAAGTTCTGTGGCTTGTTTACATAAACACGAGACTTCAAATAACCTTCAAAAAGCAGTCTGCAAATCACCAAAACGAGGAATCAAGCAACCGGGAAATATATATCGCGAGCAGAATGTCCATTGTTGCTCGCCTGATTTGACTACTTCAGACTTCTTTCTTTGAGGTTTTTTAAACTTTTGCCTTTATGCAGGGTGTCCCGAAATTAGGGGGCCAAACTTAAACAGTGCATTTTTCATAGAAAAGTAACACTTTTTTGTTAAATAAACATGTATCAAAAAATGCCCCCTAACGGAGCTACGGCCCCCTGAATAGTAGCCTAAGAGAATAGTTTTTTTTAAACTATTCCTAGAGCGTTAAACATGAAGAAATAAAATTTTGGCACTATGGTAATTTTTAGATGCTGAATCAAGATCTAAGATCAAAACTGTTAAAATTTAATCATAGGCGTAACATTTGGGGGGGAAAAGTTATAAAAATAGCCCCAACTTTTTTCCGAGATAATATTTTAATTTTTTTTCATGAAATTATGAAAACTTATAGTTTTTTACGAAAAATAGGTAGTCTTGATTTCAATCGCTTAGATGCACCATTTTCGAGAAAAATGCATTTATAAATTACTCTACATAGCATACACATCTCATATTTTCGTTAAAATTTTGTGTCAAAATTTGAAAATCGCTCCATAATAAAAAATAACAAAAATCGAGCCAAAAAATATTAATTAAACTATAAAAATAAATGTAAAGTCAGCAAATAACCCAAACGTCACTTTTGTACCAAAGCTTTTTAATGAAAATATTAGAAATTATGCTAAGCATAGTAATTTAAATTGCAATTTTCTCAAAAATGGTGCATCTGAGCGATTCAAAGCAAGAGTACCTATTTTTCGTGAAAAACTATACATTTACATAATTTTATAACAAAACATTAAAATACTCACTCTGCAAAAAGTTGGGGCCGTTTTTGTAAATCTGCCCCCTCAAATGTTACGCCTATGATTAAATTTTAACAGTTTTGATTATAGATCCAGATTCAGAATGTCAAAATTACCAAAGTCCCAAAAATTCAGGTCTTCATGTTCAACCCTATAGGAATAGTTTTAAAAAAATTATGCTCTTAAGCTCCTATTTAGGGGGGCGTAGCTCCGTTAGGGGGTATTTTTTGATATATGTTTATTAAACAAAAAAGTGTTATTTTTCTATAAAAAATGCACTGTTTAAGTTTGGCCTCATAATTTCGGGACACCCTGTATGAACAAGCCACACCCCTTGGTATTCCTAAAAGAGAACATTGAAGAAGAAAAGATAATGTCATTGCTTGAAGTATTAAAAAAAGTGTGCATCAACTCTGGCAGGGGCCACTTGGCCGATTTTGTTTTCTTGACTTAACAGGAAAAAAATTGAAGGTCCAAATAAGCATTATTCAAACAGTAGGTACTGATTTTTTTATTTACAAAAAGCCTTAGGAAATTGGGTCTTTTGCGCCACCTTGTACGTACAGTGGCAATTTTCAACGTTGCGTTTTAACTTCTATTTTATTTGAGGGAAACTAGTTTGATTTTTTTGTGTTTTATTTTAATATTGTTTGCTTCATAGTGCGTATAAATTCAATCTCAAGGGATGGTTGGGGTTCTCGCGAGCTTTTAAATTGATGTTTGATATTTCACCCCGAAGTCAATATTATTTAGTTTAAAATGTTTTCAATTAAGTATAAGTTTTTGTTTGAAATTTGTTCTTTCATTCTCCTTCAGGGTTTATTTATTTTTTGTATATAAAGAAATATAAAAAACAATTATAATTGTTTTAAATATAAAATGTAATATTAGAGGTAGTAAGGCAAAAGCGACATTTACAAACAGTTTTTTGTATCTTTTTCAATGTAATTATTATGCACCACATCCTCTCATAATAACCACATTTCGCCGCAATATTGTCAAATATTTGTCGCAATCCGCCCCAACTCAACCAAATAGAACATTTACCCCTAAAGTCGCCAGTCTTTATTAACACATATGGCGTGTTTACGTAAGCGTGGTGGTGATTAGTGCAAGAGATCAGGGTATGCAGTGATAACTGCGATCCGATTATACCTCGCCTGGCCCTCTATGATCCGTCCTAAGCGGCTCATGCTCGCCCAAGACCCTCTGGATTGCCTGAAGGCTATCAGAACCCAATTCCAACTCAACCCTGCAACGCTTTCAAGCCTGCAGACACAAAAAACGATATTTTACGAGGGATAATTATTAAATAATACTGTTTATCTTGACCTTAATACTAAAATAAGAGGATCAATATGACGATTTTTAATATCCTTAATCTACATTGGTTTACAAAAACAAGTTTAAGTTTGATATAAAATATTGACGTTTATTTTTAGGTATCTACTTCTTTATAATCAAGTATTAAATCCTTTAAATTTTCTCTGGCTTCGCTAAACTGTCCTTCTTCTAATCCTTCCCCAATATAATGATGAAAGAACGCTCTTTTCTTATACATCATTTCATATTTACCCACAACTCTTTCCCATGCCTCCTTGATGGCAGTACTATTAGAAATCATTACGCAAGCCCGCTGCGTTGGTGCCAAATCGCCTCCAGGCACTGTAGTAGGTGGCATGTAGTTAATTCCAACCTTAAAACCTGTAGGGCACCAATCCACAAACTTAATAGAACGTTTTGATTTTATACTGTTAATGGAAGAGTTTATTTCCGCAGGATTAACATTGCCACGATATAGAAAACATGTGGAAATATAACTTCCATTTCTGGGATCGCATTTTATCATTTGATTTGCAGGTTCGAAGCAGGAATTTGTTAGTTGTCCAATAGTGAATTGTTCATGTGCTGCCCTTGCTCCTCCGACTATAGGAGCATATGTGATTAGAGGAAAATGTATGCGTGGATATGGAACAAGGTTTGTTTGGAATTCTGTTAAGCTTACATTTACAGAACCTTCAAATCTTAGAGAGGCCGTTGTGCCTGACACTACCTGAGCCAGTAGACGGTTTAGATTAGTGTAAGTCGGGTTTTGAATGTCCAATTTTCTCGATAGAATGTCGTATAATGCTTCATTATCCAAAATAAAGCAACAATCTTCGTATTCCATACTGGTGTGATTTGTTAGCACTGTGTTATACGGTTCTACTATAACAGGCGATACTCTTGGTGATGGAAATATACCAAATTCTAATATAGATAACTTTCTATAATCTTTGGCTATATTTTCTAGGAATAAAGATGTCAAACCTGAACCTGTTCCGCCACCAAATGATCTAAATAATAGTAAACCTTCAAGATTGTTGCATTCTTCCGCTAGCACTCTTAGTGTATCCATAGCTAATGGCAGCATCTCAGCTCCATGAGAGTAATAGCCAATCGCGAAATTATTAGCAGCATCCTCTTTTCCTGTTAGCAAAGTATTTGGTCTGAATAAGTGCTTGTAGTAGTTTGTTCTTATCTCATCTATAACAGTCGGTTCCAAGTCGATCATCAAGGTTCTAGGTACGGCTTTACCTGCTGCCGAAATTGAGAAGAAGGCGCTGAAACTATCATCGTAGTGGCATGGGGAGTCGCCCACCACTCTCCCATCGACTGTTATACCATGCTCAAGACAGTAAAGTTCCCAACATGCGTTAGCAATTTGTACCCCGGCCTGTCCAATGTGGATTTGGATGATTTCTCTTTTGGGCATATTATGATATATCTTTTAATTTCTTTCATTTTTTGTTTAACATTATCACAAGAATTTTGAGTTGTTTCTGACGAACAAACTTTAATGACAAATGTGACACATGAACTGAAATGTCAAGCGTACATAACCCTGAAGTCGAGAAAAGTCATATATCATGTGTGCCTTCGATTTTATAGCTCGAAAATCGTTGTTTGTGTTTTATGAAATAGTGTTTAAGATTTAGTGTGTATGTGTGTTAAATAAATCATGACGATGGTGTCTGGAGTCACGCACACGTGCAGCGAACGCGCCTCGACGGGCCTCCGTTAGTGGGTGCGGACGTGTTTTATGTAGCGGAATGAAATTTTACGATAAATTCGTACAACTTTTCGGACGGGATGTTCCCGCCTTGCTTGTCCAAAAATTGCCTAAACAAATTTAGTTTACTGCAATCTTGACCACGTTATTTCTATGTTAAATCAATAAAAAGTAGGGACAACATTCCAATATTAAGACTGAAATGTTTAAATACCTATAACAGAATATACAGGGTGTCCCAAAAGTCAAGGACAGCAGAAAAGGGGTTTTAAGTCGAATAGCCATGGCGTTTTTAATTAGTTATTAATAAAATAAATTACCCAATCACAGGCGTGTTTTAGCAGAATGATTAGAGGTGGGGGAACTATAATGTGCAGCTTAATATTAGAAATTCTATATTAAATCGTAGTGTAAAATGACCTTAATTATATGGTTGACATTGTCACTGTCAGTATTTTAGTTTTTAGGTTAGTTTTAACTTGAAACTTTCTTTTTTTATGGAAAATTGGTGGCCCTAATACAGATTAATAATCGGTTTAAACGTTGTTTCTTACAGAGGCGCTTATAAGCCTAAAAGTGCTAAGAACAACCGTTTTACTCCTTTTTGGTCAAAATAAACCTTATTTTATCAGAACTGTCATTAAACTGTCAAATTTCAGCTTTAAGGTTAATTTACCATAACCCACAAATTTAAATTTGATAGTTTGATGACAGCCCTAATGGAATAAGGTTTAAAATGGTTGTTCCTAGCACTTAAAGGCCTCATTTGAGACTTAAGCCCGCTGCACAATAGCCCGGTAACGGGAACGGGAACGGGAATCCTAACAATAAAGGTGGGAGAGACTAAAAAACCACTGTTGATAGATAGGGTTCGCTGAGTCTCTCCCACCTTTACCGTTTAGTTTCCCGTTCCCGTTGCCGTTACCGGGCTGTTGTGCAGCGGGCTTTACAAGTGCCTCTGTATGAAACACAATGTTTAAAACGATTTTTAATCTGTATAAACATAAAAATGGCCGCCGTTAGATTCTGTGCAGTGTTGAAGTGATTTTTAGTAGGCGCGAAACAAGATAAAACAGGGTTTGTTGTGTGGATTGTGATTATAACATATTAATTATTATTAATATTAATAAAAAAGTAATTTAACTTATTTAAAAAAAGTAAAGTAAAGTATATCACCATCAACCTTGTGTTAATTTATTTATTAAGTCGCAAGTTAAAAAAATAACAAAAAGAAAAGGTAGGTTTATTTGTCCCACACAAAAAAAATGAACATTTCTCCTGAACCTAAAAAAACAAAACAAGTGACAGTGAAAAAATAAAATCAAGGTCATTTCACAATTTGATACGTTCATTGCCATGGAATTTCTACAAAAGTTTGTGATGTCCCACCTCTAATCATTCTGCTAGAGCACGCCTGTAATTGGCTACTTTATTTTAATAATAAGTTATTAATTGTGCTTCTGATCAAAAAACAGCAAAGACTATTCGACAGAATCCCATCCTCTATCCACCCCTTTTCTGCTATCCTTGACTTTTGAGACACCCTGTATATTTTGTTTAAAAACGCAACGCTGGCTTACAAATTTATAAAAAATAAATGTACATACGGTTTCTTTATTTTTTTCTTATGTATTATGGCCAGGTTCTCGAGATATAATTTTTTATATATATTTTTTACATTAACCGTAATAACTTTGTCATTTATCCAAAGATTTTTTCGTAAATACCTTATTTTCTTTGTAAAAGTGCAAATTCAAATATGGTCATATTTCAAGGATTTTTATTCATTCTAGGACAAAAGGTAACTGCACTTTTATTTTTGTCCAAAATATTTGAGCCCATTTCACTTCAACTACTTAACTGATTGGTCATTAAGAAAGTGATATTGGTAGGGGATTATATTATATTTGGTTTGACATCTTTTGCAACCAGGTTGATCGTTTATAAATCGAGATACGTCCCAAATTGTAAAGCTACATTTTCAATCAACTCTGAAGCTAGCTTTAGAGTGGGAGTGTGTCGCACACGTAGAGTGGCTATTTTCAACCGATACTCGCACTCGATTGGACAATAACAATGTCAAAATTTGGGGTTATGTAAATTATCTTTACGTTTTTTGTTTTGGTGTAGTTTATTTGTTAATATGTATAACGAGAACCCTATTTAACTCTTTCTAAATGTCATATTAGGTATATTATATCCATAACAACTATATGAACTTTTCCTATATTTGTAGTATCTCTACATGTACATTAGGGTGGGCCGAAAATCCGCTTTTTTAGAATTTCGTTTAGTAATAGCAAAAATTTTGTTCATTATGTTGTAAAAAAATTTTGTGTAAAAGATTAAAATTTTCGATCAACATCCTAGGCTCGCCCAACGCAATTAAAGATCAAAATGTTAAAAAAAAATTTTTCTTAATTTATTTCGATCGGAAATTTTATGCTCTACACAAAATTATTTCAAATGGATAGTTTCAGAAATTTGTTCATTATGTTGTAAAAAAAATTTGTGTAAAAGATTAAAATTTTCGATCCCCATCCTAGGCTCGCCCAGCGCAATTAAAGATCAAAATGTTCAAAAAAAAATTTTCCTAACTTAATTCGATCGGAAATTTTATGCTCTACAAAAAAGGTCCTTACACTAAATTACTTCAGATGGATAGTTTTAGAAATGAAACCGATTTTAGTATCAAAATTTTTTTGAACATTTTGATCTTTAAATGCGTTGGGCGAGCCTAGGATGTTGATCTTTTACACAAAATTTTTTTACAACATAATGAACAAAATTTTTGCTATTACTAAACGAAATTTTAAAAAAGCGGATTTTCGGCCCACCCTAATGTACATTAGGGTGTGTATTTTTTTTCTTCTCGTCTCTTGTGAAAATATGTTGGTTTGTCATGTTTTAAGAGCCCTGTCAAAAGATCAGCACCATTAAAAAAATTTTAGGGGTCGCTCAAGATTTTTAAAAATTACCAAAATCGTCAAAAATTGGATTTTTTTAATTTTAATTTTTTTTCTCGTTCCGATATTATTTTTTAATTTAAAAATAATAATGATTCTGAAAATTTCAAATCGATATTTTAATTTCTAAAGGTCGCTCAAGATTTTTTTAACTTTCAGTATTTTGAATGTTTTCGAGCGACCTCTGAATATAAATATCAACGAACTTTTAGCGACCTTTAGAAATCAAAATATTGATACTTACGTACTTCTGTAAATCTCAATTACTAAATAGTATTTAATAAATAACCTATAAACAATATTCAATGGTAGTTTATTAAAATATTGTAGGTTAGGGTTGTTTCCACTTCTGCAATCAGCGGATTATGCGCTAGAGTCAGATTTTAACGAAAATGAATACTATGAAATACACAAAGCAAGCTTGCACTCCGACTCCCACTCCCACTCTAGCACGAGAGTTGATTGAAAATGGGCATTAAGGCTACAAAAACAAATGAAAAAAATATATTGTGATTTTTAGCATGCCAAAATATTTTAGAAGAAAATGTGTTCATTTTGGATGTAAACCAGTGCAATCAGCAGATAATTCAATGTACCAATCCTAAATTCCTGCTAATTAATTTGATCGAGACTTCCCATCATCCAGGATGCACAAAGAGAAGGAAAGAGTGGAAATTCAATCGAGCGACGCACCTCCTAAATTTAATGGGTTTTCGCGTGTGTTGGTCCAACATGGTTTATGTGCTGGGCGTAGCAAGCCACGCGGCCCGTCATCATGTGAGAATCACGCGTGATAATCGTACTAACACGATACACTCTTTCCCTTTCGCATTAGATCGGCTTACCATAGTTCTCGCTATGGGGAATCTCTGACGGGAATCCGGTCGGATTTATGGACAGAACTAATTGAGTAAGATTTATTTTGCTTAGTCGGTCAACTGTAACAATCAGTTTACTTTTAAAATGTCATAATGATTTGAAGTACCTTAGTAACAATTGACGCGTTTCTCGGAAAAACATCATTAGTCCAAAATTAACATATTTGGGAAAATGAAAAAAACTCTCCGACATTCCCATTTTTGACCAAATTACTTTATTGACCTATTTACTACATGTAAAAAAATGTAAGATACTTTGTCCAGAATTCCTCATGTTTGTATTTTCAAACGAATATGAAAAAAACACAAAAAATACATGAACATGTGAGGTTTTTAGAAGAAAAAAACAAACAATTCTCCTTACTACAAACACTACAAACTAAATACTAACTCTGAGTAACAAAATAAATGAAAAAACAAAAAACTGTATTACTGCCATACTCAGTCTTCGCATCCACTGCTGTTATCATCGTTGTCGACCGTGTTATCAGGACTGTCAGGTGCTATGGTCTTCTGCTCTTTTATAATGTTATCATGAAATTTTCTATTGCTGTGGTAATGTAAAAAAAGTAGAAGCTTTTCTAGAGTGTCCAAAAACGTCACATGTTGTGTACATGTGACTTTCTTAGACGAAACTGAGTGGACTTGTGATGTTTTTAGAAGAACAAGCTAAATTTCATATTTAATTATTATGGAACCTATGACATTTTTACGAGAAACACTTATTTGTATACGTATATATGGAGGTTAGGAAACAGTTGGTGCTAATATCTAAATTTCGAAGATATTGGACTAATGATGTTTTTCCGAGAAACGCCTCAATTGATACTGAGTAAAGAAATCTTGTGAGCTTTAAGTTTTATTTATTTAATTCAGGTTTTGTAATTTTTAGACAGTTTTGGGACAACGCAGAACAGTTTCAAAAATAAAAAGAAGATC